TGGGCAGCTTGAGGACACACTGCAAATATTGAAAGGGATTTTCCCCATAATTTCAGCACAATGGATGAATGACAGTAATAATTTAAATGTGGATTCAGTCAAAGGTTTGTTGATATTAAAATACAATTTTAAGCACTTGTCTTGATCAGAGTTCTATAAGTATATTGCAAGCCAACAAGGGATTTTATTTATTTGTTTGTTTGTTAATTAAACACATAAAAACAATTCACCTTGGTGCAGATATTATTTTTCATCAAGATGGTAAAGCTATTTGTTTTAACACTTATCATTTCATATTTAGAAATATTTACCTCCATCTATGCCAGGGGTAGGCAACCTAAGGGCCGGGGGGCCGGATGCGGCCCCATGAGGCCTTTGGACCGGCCCCAGGCCGGTCCTGCCGCCGCCGCCGCCGCCCACCATAATGATATTGATTATTGTTGTTATTACTTGTTCTTGGGGTTTTCTTGGCAAAATCTCCACAGGGGTTTTGCCATGGCTTTTCTGAGGCTGACAGAGTATGCATGCATATATTTTTTAATTTTTTAAATTTTTTTAAATTTTTTTATTTTTATGTATTTATTTATTTATTTAGGGTGCTTCGGCCCCCCAATTGTCTGAGGGACAGCAACCCGGCCCCTGGCTCAAAAAGGTTGCCTACCCCTGATCTATGCCATCTATTTCACTGAAGCTTATAATTAACCTCCTCCAACCTCTCTGAGTTCTTATGGAAATTTCATGTTTTCCATTTACAACACAATATTTTTTGTTTTTCCTACTCATTTTTTATTTATTTATTTTCTAATAAGTCCCTAATTGTTTGTTCATTTATTCATAGACTACAAGCCAACAAGCCATTTTAGTGAAGTTCATCAGAAAAATATAGTTGAGTCCATAATAAAATACAGTATTATTATTAGTATTATATTTATTTTGTTGTTGTTAACCACCTTCGAGTAGATCTCAACTCATGGCAGCCTTATGGATAAGATATCTCCAAGACCCCCTGTCCTCCACTGCTCTGCTTAATTCCTGTAACCACTTAATACCCGTGACCCCCCCCCTTTTCCCAAAACTGGGACTCAGAGCGGCTTAAAACAGAATTTAAAAATTTAAAACAGATTGCATATAAAAGAATAAAATATAGTTAAAAAGATAAAAGGTGTTTAAAATTGTTGTTGTTGTTGTTATTATTATTATTATTATTATTATTAT